ACTCGGGATATGCCCAGAGTCACGGAACGGATTAAGTTCGTATCCCGAGGTACCACTGTAAATGATGAAATGATTTGGAATGGAAATGAAATAAAGGGATGCTGGAAGGAGTATATTTTGAGATTTGTATGGGAATGATACGTCAAAGAAAGGGGATTGAAATAATTGCTATAAAAGTTGGTGTCCAAGGAAAAAAAAATCATGAAAAGGAAGTTGCAAATGTTGTGAGAATGTTGAAAACTGGAGGGTGTGACTGGAGAAATGTTAAAACATGGGTGGTGGTGGTTACAGGGGCTCCCAGGTTCGTCTTATGGTCACTCACTCACACTCTGTTGAGGCACGCGGGTCTTGTAAGTCCCCCTTGCTTTCTACCTGGGCTTTCCAGAGAGCAGACAAGACACAGAGCCCTGGGCAACAAGCGGGAAGTAATTAGGGACACACACATCACTTTCAGCCAAACACTGAGGCGCCACAGGTTCTTTGGAATACACAGAGACTCAGTGAATTTAAAGTAACAGCAAAACTTTCCAGAATACAATGTGCACTTGCTCTTTCTCACATGCACGCACACTCATCCACACTTACCCAAGCCCTTCTCAACTAGGCTGCCAGGCACTAGCTAGAGGGAGGGAACCAAAGATGACTCCAGGTGTGGGCAGGCTTCAGGAACCCCTTTTATCCCCCAAAGTCCTTGAATTGTTGATTCACAAGACTGGCAGCTACTCTTGCCTTGTTAATTTACAAGTCTGGTAGCTGTTGAGGGGATTGGGGGGAGATTTCCATGTGTGTCTGGTTCAGATGACCTTTTTTGTTTCCTTAACGACTTGCTTCCTCCTTATCTACCTCCCCAAAAGGATCTTTTAGACTTTTGTCCTCTCTGCTGACATCCCTGCTTCATCTTTTAGGTATGGCAGCTTCAGCCTAGTCACACAGCATGAGGGAGCGAAGTTGGGGTTGCTGCCTGTGCTTGGGAAAAGTAACTTCAGCCAAGTAGAAACACTTCTCACCCCACTTCCCTCATTTCCCTAACTCAAACTTCACTCACAAGCATCCGAGTCTGATAACTGAGCCACACCCTGGCATTTTCAAGGGACATCCAGAGGCAGCCTCACTCCACCCAGGCTCTTAGCTTAGAAAAGCAAATGGTAAGACAGAGCGGAGAGGTGGGAAGGCGATAAGCAAACAGTGTACAGAAGGGGGAGCGGAGGCAACGTCTGGAGATTGGCAGCTATTACAAGCAGGCAAGAGGACTATCATTCAACTGCCAGGACCAGAAGTGACGGTGAGCAGCATATCCTGGTAGAAGCCTTGCCTGGAGCTTTGCTGAGAGCTCAGTAGCAACTAGAAGAGGAACAACCACACTGAGAGCACCTCATCCCAACTAGAGGAAGAACATTTGGAAGGAGGCAAAGATGGTATGTTACTTTACAGACTGACAGACTTTTGCTTGAACTAAGTATTAAAGAACTAAGTATTAAAGACATATTTACATGGCAACATCACCTAGATGCATTTCCTAGATGGGTGGAGAGCAATAGTCTGTTGTGGGGGAAGGCGTGTGCTGCAATAAAGCATTTTGTAACGATTTGCTATGCTGTGGTATGTCCAGTCCTTGGAAAGTGTGGTTTGCAAATGCAAACTACAGCTTTAATGTGAGTGTGAAGACCAAATTGTAGCTGGTAATAGGAAGAATGTTCTATACAAAGGGAAAAGTAGCAAGAGTGAATGCAGTCACTGCATAGTAATTAGACAGGTGTGCTTGGGAAGGTGTTTGGCAGAATCCTGATTGAAAGGGTACAAGAGGTGACAAGCAATAAAGTTTAGGGAGGGCAACGCAGCTTTATGAGAGCCAGTTTGGTGTAGTGGTTAAGGCATCAGGCTAGAAACCAGAAGACTGAGTTCTAACCCCACCTTAGGCACAAAGCCAGCTGGGTGACCTTGGGCCAGTCCCTCTCTCTCAGCCCTAGTAAGAAGGGCAAACCACTTCTGAAATCTTGCCAAGAAAACTGCAGGGATTTGTCCAGGTAGTCGCCAGGAGTCAATGCTGGCTCCAAGGCTCCCTCCCTGCAGCCCCTGCAAAAAAAAAAAAAAAGTTTTATTCTGGGGCTGGGTTGTCAAACCTGGTCTTTATAGGAATTCAAATTAAAGCATCCTTAATAAAAATGATTTCTCAGGGGAAGCTGGCATAAAGCCATGTGTTTCCTTTGCAGATGGCAGCAAAGTGTTAATTTTTGAAAGAGCCACAAGATGCCTTGAGGATTTTCTGATGGAAGAGCAGAAAAGAAAAACCTTTAAAACTCAGTCTAAATAATGTGAATGACTTGCTTTAAAAGCATAGGAAGGGACAAACTAAAGTTTGTGTACTGTCTTCGTATTTCCTTCTCTCTGCATGTCATCTTGTTAAATAAGTGAGCTGTGGGTGTCACTGTTTCAATGTTCAGAGCAATTTTATGGTCTCCCATCAGTATGACTTGGGGATGGCTATTCAGAGCAGATTACTATATGAAGATGCATTCTGAACAGTTAAGTAATGTTTGGTTGTGTGGATCCTTTCTGGTCAATTAAATGCCTCACCAGTGGAAACTTTTTCCCCAGTCAGAACATGCTCTCTCTTGTAGGAGTTTATGCATGCACAGAGAGGGCCAACTTTTGACTGATGTTTTCTCCACAACTCTGTCCTCTCTCTCTGGTAGTTATTTGCTTGTGCACAAGGAGGTATAGTTGAGACCCAAAGTGACTCTGCAGCCAGAACTGATTCTGGGCCTTAATCTTGTAATTTAAATGATGGCTGAGCATTTCCTAGAATCCAGACACGTGTGCAATATATCTCCTGCCATGTGCTGGATGGTTTCATCACTGGTTAAAGCCTTCCCTTTTTGCATTCTGGAGATTCCTGCTGCCTCAAGGAATCTTGAGAGCCAGTTTGGTGTGGGAATAAAGGTGCTGGCCTAGAAACTAGAAGACTCTGAATTCTAGGCCTCCCTTAGGCATGAAAACCAGCTGGGTGATTTTGGGCCAGTCACTCTTTCTCAGCCCAACCCACCGCACAGAGTTGTCACCGTGGAGAAAATAGGAGGCAGGAGGATGAGGTACGTTTGCTGCCTTGAATTATATATAAAAAGGGTGGGATAAAAACATCTTTCCTCCAGTTCTTCAAGGCTGATCACTGTCCAGCTCCTCCTCTCAATAATCAACATGGCTCCACTTCCCTCAAACCTCCTGTAGGGTTTTTTTTCTACTTTCAGGGTTTCTCCTCATTTCCTAGAATCAAAGGAGATAGTTCCCCATGAAAATTTTCCTCCACTGAACAATAAGAGAGAGATAAGGCGCTGCAACATTACAAAAGATACTTTCATCGTGAATAGCGTTCTAATCTAATGTTCTAACTCTAATGTTGGATTTTCTCAATTAGTTTATTCCTCTCCATTCCGTCAACAATTACGCCCATTGCAATGCAAGCTTTTCCAAAAGGGGCCAAAATTTTCAGTCCTGCCCATCTGGGTGCCACCAGCCAAGTGTTCGCCAGTCCTCCTGATGTGTCAGACCACAACCTGGGAGTTGTGCTTTGTCACTTCTGGAAGATCCCCCTGAGGATGGGAGTTGTAGTCCAACACAGAATACTAGCTCCGTGGATTTTGGGAGTTGTAGTCTAGGCCACTCGACAGCACCAGCTTCGGGAGTTGCACCCTGCAGGTCGACGCAGGTTGTTCAGCATCCTCGGCCCAGGAGCTGCAATACTTTTTCCCACCACGAGGGGGCCCTCGGCTGCTCCCTTGGCAGGGAGTGTCCCGTTCGGTCGTAGCCGCAGGGTGGCTCGGTGGCCAAAGCTCAGCGGAAGGCAGTTGTGCGATGCCTTAGACTTTCGAGTGTCGAGTGTACGGACCCACAACTGTTTTCACGCTCCGGTTTCAGCTCCTTAAAGCAAATAAGTCTGAACGGAGCTCGCACGAAGGAAAGCAGCCCCACCTTACGCCCGCCGGAAGTTCTGTCGACTTTCCCGGCTTACCGGAAGTTCAAGGTGCGGGCCGTTCTATCGACGTCCGAGCCGATTTTGGATGCGCTCTATGATCATTCGAGAGCGTTGATCGAGTTTGGAAAGAGGACCCTTCTGAGGGTTGGCTAATCAATTGCCTGTGGGAAAGTGGCTCATTGCTTTCGCGAAGGCTCTGATGCAAGTTAGTAGTAACTTTGTGCAGCAAGACTGATGTACGAGTTGATTTATTTATGCATTTATTATTTCAATTTCTATAGCCACCCATCTCAGATACATGACTCTGGGCAGCTCACTGCAACTAAAACTATAAAAAAAAAACGCAAAGCACAATACAAGAATCCTATATAAAAACAATATAAAAAGCTATGCACGACACAATCAGTAGCAATTCGTTAATTACAGGTGGGAAGATGCGATTTAAAATGTGATGGGGGGTCAGGCTGAAAGAAATAAGTAGGATAATCCTGGCCCACAGACTCACTCACAGAAGTCAGATCTCCTGCATAAATTAAATTAGCTTTGGAAGAACGTTGCCCCCCCAAATGTCCTCCGGTTTGCCATCTTTTGCAGGCATCTGTCATGCTGTGGTTGGAAACAGAATAACAAACTGTTTAGACAATTCTGGTTGTGATCCTGCCGCATCCCCAGGAACAAACCCCACTGCATTCATACCCTGTTGCCATTATTTGGCTTGACATAGAGAAGTATATAAGACTTTTCTAAAAATCAGCAATTTTTAAAATTAATACCTTCAGTATGAGTCATGATCGGGCCCTTGGAATTTTTTTTATTGCTCTTATGAATCTTTTTTACTTCTAAAGCTTATTTGCTTTAGAACTTTTAGCCTTGAACTTTTATTACCAAAGATTAGCAGGTATTTAGATAAGTTAAACTTACAAAATTATCTTTAACAGATGTAGAATACCTTGATTATTTGGCATGGGTTTACTAGGGGACATAGTGTGATGGTAAGAGGCTGTGGTTCGCAAACCTTGGTTTATGGTTTCATGTATCGTGTGAGCTCAGCCTTTTTGTGGTTTATCAACAGGCCATAATTAGCATGATTAGCTCAGTTAGGGTTTTTTTTTTTCATAGATGTATTTAGGATTTGAATTAGGATGGCACAGATTTAAGGTTGTTGTTGATTTAATAAAACGGCCAAAAACGTGCCTTAAAGAGATGCCTCCATACTGTGTAAGTAACCAAGTAAGTTTACTGTTACAAAAGAGAAGCAGGCCAAATGCTGGGTTACAATTCCCAGGATCAATCCTCAAAGAGGTCCGAATACAGACGCTTGTTTAAAGCCAAAGCATATTCAACATCCATTTCTGATTGTTCCTTTTGATGCTGGTGGAGCTAATGAGTGAACCACTCGCTCACCTGAATCTCTCAACTGTTCATCTGAATGCACCCACCTCTTTGTTTCCACTGGGGTTCAGGAAATGGGGTTCCATAGGGTTCCACTGGGGTTCAGGAAATGGGTTCCACTGGGGTTCAGGAAATGGGGTCCCATAGGGTTCCACTGGAGTTCAGGAAGTGGGTTCCATTGGGGTTCAGGAAATGGGGTTCCATAGGGTTCCATTGGGGTTCAGGAAATGGGGTTCCATAGGGTTCCATTGGGGTTCAGGAAATGGGGTTCCATAGGGTTCCATTGGGGTTC